GCAGCAATAGCGGCTGTAAGCAATAGGGCGTTGTCGAGTTGATTTCACCAATAGCTTTAATGACGTGCACTACCGTTTTAGAGGACGACACTTATTCATTACCTCTTATTCAATTTCCTCACTGAAAAATTCGATATACATACAAATGCTTGGTCCGAGTTGTAGTCGCTTTCAATGGTGGGTTTCGGGTGGTGATCAGTGTGTCTGTTTGGCCACGATGTCTTTAACAGACGACGCCAGGATCGATCATGTGGTGGTCGGGTACGCCGAAAAGGTTGTCGACAGGTTCCCAGTCGGGAGCTTGGATAATAGCCTTAAACCAGTGGCGGCGGTGGCGGGACCATTAGGGGAAGAGGGAGATGCGGTTGTATGGTAATAAGGGTCGTATGTAGCCCTTGCGGGTCTTAGGAGGTCGTGGACTTTACAATAGTGGCATATTGAAGCGGGCTTTTATTAATTCCATCCGCAACCGGAAATTGGTTCTTCTATTGCATTTCGTTGGGATGCTTATGGACAGCGAGTACCATGGAATGGTTGGATGAATCGAATTCGCCTGGCAGTGTTCACGTCTGGTCGTAGCTGTCAGTTGACGTGAGTATTTTTCAGCTCCTACCCTGGGTCCTCTGATAGAGCCACTTGTCGTGTAGCGGTCTATCGGGCCTGCGAGGACGGCTCGTCAGAACTTGTTCACGCAGTTATCGTGAATATTCCTCGAGAGCTCGTAGAGGGTACGAGGGTCACTCACATGGCGAGTCAAGTGGATCGCAAGTCCGGTGGTAGGTCTCCGCCCTAGTCGGGGCCCTCTGAGTTCAGTGCCTGTCTAGGCTCAGGCTGATTTCAGGTATTGTCTTCAGCCTTCTGACGGCCTCTTCGGTCATCCTGTCCCTCAACATCCCCCCTCGATTGTACCGGTCGGACTCTGTCTGGATCAACCGGCTCGCCTCTCTATCCCAGCGTGTCACCACTGTCGCTGGTCTAACTGGGCCGGCCACATCGTTGACCCTTCTTGGGCCTGGATGGGCTGCCATTGGCTGTGCTGATGGGAACGTTACGTTGGCTTGGCTCTCTACTTGCGATGACGGCCAGGAAACACCGAGTTTGTGCGAGAAGAACCTCGGCCTTGTTGCGCGGAAGAGTGTCTGGTCCAAGATGACCGGCATGTTCAGAAGTGAGCTCTCTCGTGCTCAGTGAGGTCGGGAGGAATTGGGCGTTCTCTGCAGGTTCCCGTTCACCATCAACCGTCTCGGCTGCGGTGGTGGGGTTGGTACCGCTTCCTAACCAGGAGCTCCTCTCTGTCACTGCTGATGGTTGCTGTCGCCGATGGTTCGAGCCCCTATCTGCTTACGCTGGCACTCCGCCTGCGAGCGAGACTAACCTTGAAATATGTGGCGGCATCGTCGTCAGCAACTTCTATGGGGAGGACCTGCCGGGGTCTCTGGCGGTCGGAAGGCAGGATGCTGTTGGGGCCTGGATTGTGAGCATCCTCGAAATAGACGAGGATGGGTCCATGACCGAGGGCTCCTCGATAGACCTGCCCCTC